TATCACCGGGTGTAGGGTCGAACAAATCGGAGAGTAAAATGTCTATAGTTAAAATCCCTCCCCGTCCCTATTTTTTTATATTTGGAAAATATTTTGAATTTAAAAAAAAAAAAATTGCTCATACAATATCCTATATAAATTACATTCCCCAAAAGCGTGGGAAACAAACCAATGAGAAAGCGCGTGAGGACGATCCGAAGATGTATTTGAAAATTTCAACCACCAGCCCCATATTCAATACATTATATTCAATGAATATAAATTTTGGCCCCATAGTCCCATAGCCGCCTCTAATAATCTAATCTCTAAATACTTGTTTTTTTTTTCTTTTTTTTCATAAAATTATTACTCAAGAACCACCACCACCACCTACTTCCTCCACCACCCCCCACGGCGGCAACTACAAAGAAACAAAAATTTAATGAAAACAACCAAGTTTAATTTCATCCTACACCTCCATTTCAATTTCTAACTTATATATATATATATATGATTTTTATTAGTAATAATTAATTAATATATACATATGAACACATTTAAAAAAAAAATTGTTTACCTTGGGTAAGGCGATCCCTTGATAGGCTTTTGGCCGTACTTCCGCCACGACCAAGAATCCGGCGGCGGATAAACCTCTCCTCTACTCCGGAATCCGTCGGCATCGCCTATCGGCACCGTCACTACTTTCTTGTGTGCACCTCTTTTACTTCAACAATTACAAACTAAATTATCAATTTCTTGCAAATAATCAAAAAAAGGAACGGAAATTATCAAATTAATTAACTAGAGAATTGAATTTGCAAGAAATTAATAATAAAAAAAAAAAAACCTTTTCTTGGCCAAAGGAGCGTATGTTTCTTGATCGGCCGGCTCGTCACCGGAAAGTGGAGAATCGGCCGTGTTTTCCGGCGGAGTTGTGGATTCCTCCTCGTGTACATGATCAAATCTACTCTCCATTTTTTTTTCTTTTATATCTCACAATATATTGGAAAACAAAATTACATGTATATATAAATAAATATTTTATATGTGTGTGTGTGTGTAAAGGAACTTTTTCATCATGTGAACTTTTGTTGTATGCATATGTGTATGTATATATGAGGTTGCCGGAAAGAAGAGAGATTTAGTGGTTGCCGGAGAGAGTTGGTGTGGAAATGGGGAAGGTGGTGGAATTTTTATTTTTTATGAGACTATATATGAATTAAATATGGAAGCAGTCACGTTGACAGATTGGCATAAGAGATTAATTTATTAAGGACGTGCAATCCAATTCAATTTTTTTTTTTTTTTTTTTTGTAACAATAAAATTATGTAATTATTTTTTCGATTAGATATTTAATTTTTTTTGAGGGTCCATCACTTCTTATTTTATTTATTATATATATGTATATAGTATAAAATAATATAATATAGTTATTGAATTGGTCAGTGTTATTATGTCACATCTCATCAATTGGTCAATTTTTAAATGCTGGATTATAATTTTTTCACATATTTAATTGCTCAAAGATAGAAAACTATAAGATGGTCGGAAATAAATACTATATTGTATAATGTCAAGTGTGAACTTCCTTATTTTGTATTTTGTGAACAAATAATTGAATAAATATTAAATAGGCTACCTCCCTCCATGTTTAAAGGGATTGTTTAACAAGTCCCACAGATTCAATTATAGAGAGGATTAGTGACAGCTACAATTCATGGAATTTCAACTTTTTTTTTTTCTTAATTATATTGGATCAATTATCGCCTCGTGCTAATAACCTCTGAATAAAACAAAATATGTAAATCATATCAGACTAACCGTATGCAACGGGCCTGATTTTGAAAGTGTTACAAATGAATTTGCAGTCAATCAAATGAGCACTCACTCCCTTTACAACTAACCATATTGTGACAACTTAAAATGAATATAATGCTATTATGAAAAGTTGAGTATTCCTCTAATAAACCAAACCATAAATAGGTTAAAGTCCTTGAGTTAATGTTCTCCTTTTGTTTTTCCTATTTAGATACAATTTTAATTTGAATGTTGAGTTACTTATTTATACATTTTGTTTTATTTCGTAGATGAGATTAATTCATGGTATTACAAAATTGGGCTTTTTTAAAGATTTGTTCGACCCTACACCCGGTGATAAACACCGGGTAGGTCTTCTGCTGCTACGTATCTCTTTTTTGTATTTTATAATATATTCCCCGCTAGGGTTTACTTTTAGAGGTTTTAGAAAAAAAAAAAAAAGGGACACGTGGCAGCAGAAGACCCACCGGGTGTTTATCACCGGGTGTTTATCAGCGGGTGTAGGGTCGAAGGAGCCTTTTTTAAATTAGAAAAATAGGTGTACTAAAAGGGTTATATGTAATTTAGTCCAAAACATATATGTATGGACTTCTAGGTAAAGCTAATTTTGGTTTGGACCTATCGATAAGAATTAGAGATAAATTTCCTATTTTCTTAAGACTTTTCTTATTGAAAAAAAAATTAAATATGAAGCTTATCCAGATGGGGCGGATACAAAATGAAACATCAAATAAATCAGTCGACAAGCGGTTTACCACCATCACAATAACAAGATTACGAGCTGCAAAATTTGAGTTTAATTTCCATTGACAAACTTAAACTTCTACTTCGGCCATAACGCGCATAATATACGAATACCATCAATTAAGACCTTGATACGTACATTCCAGTCGACAATGCAGTTAAGATCCTAGACGAAGGAGATTGAGTTTAAACAGTCGGACTCAAATACGACAGAGGCTCTTTTATAAGTTTGATCCATTAGATTGCAGGCTTCCAAATTGGCAATGGATTCAATTGCTCAATGCATTGATGCTTGGGGTTTTGGTCTTTTATTATTACACAAGAGTTGTAGTTAGAGACCCACATAAAATGTTTTGTTTGTATTGTGATGGACTGCAGAAGGATTATATTCGTCAATTTTAAACTACAATTGTTTAAAATTCAATGAGGAAAAAATAAAAGAAAATTTGATCCACTAGCTACCGATATGTATTAAATTATTAATAAAATAAAGGACAATGGCAAATAGGTCCATGACAAGGGCACTTAATTAAAAGACGGACAGTCAATTTTTTTGTCTTTAAAATAAATCTAGCTCATTCAAATTTATTTGCAAATAAGGAAAACCCTTTTATATATACCAAAATTACCCCTAATTCATTGAAACCCAATTCAACTCAAATTTCATGATTTACACCCCAATTTCATCAATTAACCAATTTTAACCCTGATTTTAATTTTGACCCCTATTTTGACCCGCCACCACCAGAGACCGCCGGTCAGCCGCCGTTGACCGCCGGAGACCCGTCGTTGACTTTTTTTTTTTTGAAAACTTTATTTTTTGAAATTTTTATCCGGTACGTCAACCATCGGGTCTCCGGCGTTGCCTTTTTTTTTTTTTCCTATAATTTTGTCTTATTTCAAAAAAATAAATTTAATTACTAATACTGTCTTGGCTACTAAATTACTGTCTCATACAGTTATTTAACTGTCGGAGACAGTAATTTAACTGTTAATTGACTTTTGTTTTTTTTTTCGTCAAAAATATTTTAATTAATATTACTGTCTTGGCTGCTAAATTACTGTCTCCAGCAGTTACTTAACTATCGGAGACAGTAATTTAACTGTTAATTGACATTTTTTTTAATATTTTAATTAATATTATTGTATTCCTTGCTAAATTACTGTCTCCAACAGTTATTTAACTGTCGGAGACAGTAATTAACTGTTAATTGACTTTTGTATTGTTAAAAAAAATATTATTTATTAATATTACTGTCTTGGATGTTAAATTACTGTCTCCAGCAATTATTTAACTGTCGGAGACAGTAATTTAACTGTCAATTGACTTTTTTTTTTTTCTTAAAAAAAATTATTTTAATTAATATTACTGTCTTAACTGCTAAATTACTATCTCCAACAGTAATTTAACTGTCTTACACAGTAATATTAATAATATTATTGTTCGGAAAAATAATATACATAATATTACTGTCCCAAACAGTAATATTAATCAAAATATTTTTTTCTAAGAAAAAAAAAATTCGAAAAAAAAGTCAACGCCGGAGACCGGCGGTCAATGGTGGTTGATCGACCGGAAAAAAAATTCAGAAAAAAAAAGTCAACACCGGAGACCGGCGGTATCCGGCGGTCAACGCCGGAATCTGGCAGAAAAAAAAAAATTTCAGAAATTATTTTTTTATGGAAAAAAAAATTTCAAAAAATTATTATTTTAAGGGTTAATGTGATATATTTGTTTAAATTCGGGGTCAATGTGTAATATTAAGGAAGTTAGAGCATAATGGATGGACTTGATAAGAATTATATTATGGAGGATATTTTAGACTAAAGACATGGGGATGAGTTTATTATTTTTTTTTTTGAGTAAATTCAAGTCCATTACAAGGGGAAGTAGGAGAGGGGGACCCGAACCCTAGATTATTACCCTATTGGTAAAGGTTAGGTACCAACTCTCCTAATGAGGGTTGGTAAAGATGAGTTTAATTGAAAAACTGTTTTTTTTTTTGTGGACCAATGTGCATTTAAGATACATGTGATTGACCTTTTTGTCATTCGCCCTAAAATAAAATAATAAAATTGTTTAAAATTTGTTACGATATTATATAGGTTTGCTAACGATTTTGGTAACATAAATACTATTCATCACCACTTTGGTAAAACAACAATACACTAGATAATGTCCCGCAAAGAATAACCTAGCGGTTGGAGCAAGTGAGCATGTGTTAATTGACTCAGGTTTAAATTCCCTTACCAACGGTCGTTAGGTCGAGCTTGTCCCACATGGTTATTAGCCTAGTGTGGTTTACATCTCTCGTATAGTTTGCAAGCTATTATATGAGAGTGTAGGTTTACCCAATGCACCTATATGGTTGGCTGCATGTTCCTTCATAACAAAAAAATAAAATAAAATAAAATAATACACTAGATAATAGTACGTAATAATTTATGTTCCAAACCCAAGCGAATTGTACTCCAGGAGAGTGATGTGGTGAAAACCGCGATCCAGAGCGATAAGCTCAGTAAGCAAGCTAGTGTGGCATCGCAACAATCATTGAACGCCAATATGATCTCGGCATCATGACCATGAATGATGCCGCCCACACCATAATGGACGAAGAATATTGAAAAAAGACCGTCAGTGTTGAGCTTCACCCACACAGTAGGGGGGATAATCGAAATAATAGGCACGATATGAGGTCTAGGAGGTCGACGACGATCCTGAAATCCAAATATTGCAAGTATATGGGGCATACTGCTCCAACCAGACTCCTGGAAGGACTGGATCGGACATAATGAAGCGTGCGAATGTGTCTCGAGATCTGCAAAGTAACTGTCTCCGTCTAGTTCGTGGACTCACGGTGCTTGTGATCATTTCTCGTAGTCCAAAGAAATCACAAGATTAGACATGCAAGGCACAACACACAGGATGTATGAACATGCACGTATCGCTGGCCGAAGCCAATATTAAAAAAAAAAACTTCTAATATTGTTGTTTAAGATATGATGAAGGGCATAATCGTCTATTGATAATAATTGTTTTAGTACTCAAAGGCATGTAAGGAAAGTGAAGGAAAATGTGCAAAAAATGAAAAATGGTTTGGGTGACGAGCAAGTTTGGGTTAAAAAACAACCTTATAATTTCATAAATAATTAGGAGACACCACTATACTCGAAGAATAATATATCATATGTGTAATAATAATAATTACAAAACACAGCTCCCTAGTTCGATGCTAGCTCCGCCATTGACATCAATTGATTTTTTTTAAATTAATTAACTAAAATTTTATTTTTGGTATCTTATGTAAATGACTGGATTTAGTAGACGCATGACCTGTAACTCTATTGTTATTTATCAATGTTTTTAAAACCGGACCGGCTATAGAACCGGACGACCATTTGGGTCATGGGTTTATAGGGTCGAACCTGTTCAATTGGGTTTTTGATTTTTTTTAATATGCCATTATTTTATTAATTTTAATATCTTAAAAACATTATTTTATTTATATTTTTAATCTCTCACTTATTATTTTTTCGTTTATCTACTTCACCGGTTCCTTCGACCCTACACCCGGTGATAAACACTGGGTGAGTCTTCTGCTGCCACGTGTCCCTTTTTTTTATTTTTCTAAAACCCCTAAAGGTAAACCCTAGCGGGTAATATATTATAAAATACAAAAAAGATACACGTGGCAGCAGAAGACCCACCCGGTGTTTATCACCGGGTGTAGGGTCGA